GTCTTTTTTGATTCCTCTAACTCAATGCAGTAATTAGTTACAGCCTGTCCACTTGGAGGTGTCAAAATGCTGGAGGCTTCTAAATGCTGGCTTTTCTACAGTAACCACAGGTCTCATTTCTTCTATAATGTAAGATGCCACCAACTGCAATAGCTGTAAGAAACATGATTTTTAAGATAATATTGTAGCGAGATATCAACCTATTATTAAGATTGTCCTATGAAGTAAGGTTTATATAACAACTGAAAAATATCCACCAATGATTCATGAAATAGAGTACTCTAATTTAGTTTAACTAGTCGGTCTGACGACAGATGATTCATTCACTAAACACTTGCTACTTATAATGTATATTACACATGTTTAATATGCTCAATTAAATTAAATACTTTCTTAACTCAATCACTGTAGGGCTCTTTTTTACCACTTTATCGTGTGGTTGGCCTGGGTCGAATCGACCTCCACCACTCTGATCCAGTTAAAAATCCTAATGTTGCAGTTTCAAATTTGTTTAGATATTTATAAGGAATACATTTGCAAGCTTTATGCTGTCATACAAGGTTTTATAACATTGAGATTACATTGAATTTTTTCTACAGGAACATTTAATAAGCAAATTATACATACCTTTATTTTTGATACTGCAGAATGGAAACCTTTTATCCATGCCTTTACACTGGATTGGGAGTGATCTTTGTGTTTTGACGTTTTCATTTGTATCTTTAGATCATTCTTATGATTCAAATATTTTTTGTAGTGCCACTCATGCATTTGCTGCAATATATGTATGAAAAGTTAAGCATAACCCACTTAACAATAATGCATAAATCATATTTACAATGCTCCTAAATGGCTCTGCACAAGAATACAGATAACATCAAAATTTATTACAACATTAACTTATGAACCCTAAAATGATTCCACGTTCTCCAAGATCTTAAGAAATTGTAGCTGCCTGGTATGTAATAGCAAATACAATTACAATGTTTATATTTTTATAATAATACATTTTGAGTATAGACTTACCTTTAAATGTCTGATAAAATTTCCGGTTGACCGGATATCGTCAGACAAAGAACCTTTTCCATCCATACAAATTTTGCATTTTGCCTTAATTTTGGTGTCCGTTTTTTCTAATATACAAAAATATTCACCTCAAAGGATATATATGGTACTTTTACGCCTTCTTGTACTTGCACATTATCTGCTTCTTCTTCTTCTTCTAGAATGGCATCTGCCATAATTGCACGCTTAGGTACTGACTAATATTCGCTATTGTATTTGCAGATCACAATGAAATAATGATACTCCGCTGATGAC